GGTTATTTTATTATTTCTGGTTTTTCATGTGGGATAACATTTCGAAAAAAGAACATACTGGTGGGACAGTGACCGTCGCGTAGTGTAATGCCCTTGGTAGCAGTTATGCGACGAACTATGTCAACCGCTAGACCCGAACTCTTACTTCGAATATTCCACTCGTGAAATTAAAACCAATAGTACGTATTTATCTATACGTACAAAATGTCCCAGACAGGGCAGTGTATATAAAAAATTATCGCCTTTTCTACCCGATTTTTCATACCGCTTCTCCCTACTGACCAATAATAAGCTGCGACTCGTTTATCTTAGGAGGCGTCAGGTATCGATCGCTGCGTTGGCATGTAATAAACTGCGTATGTACACATCCTCTTTGATTTTAACATACTTTCAGTTATTTTAAATATTTGGCACATTTTGGAACTGTTGGACGTAATTTCATTCGTGGAATAACCCTATTAAATGCCATTCGTTTGGATGGAAATTCTCAAATAAATCCCTCCTCTCTTCGCGAGTCAGGGATTTTCCTACAATTTTCAAAGCATTCGTGGTATTACCTATGATAATGAATTCCTAAAAGGTTCATTTTAAAACTATTATTTCACAATACGCAAAATTGTATAATACACAGTATTATTCTGAATAAATTAAATTTAAAACTTATTTCAGTTGGGCAATCGAAGTTATTGTAATAAATTACAGGTCCCCAAATTATTATTATTATTATTATTATTATTATTATTATTATTATTATTATTATTATTATTATTACCAACCCCCTGTTATATTAATTTATATTTTTATACAACCTTCTGCGCCGAAGCTCCCGAGAATCTAGCTACGCCACTGATTGCCCACACTACGTCTATAAAACAGAAGGAAATATCGTCGCACGCTCAAAATATAGCATTATGTCGTTGCATGTAAACTTTTACGACCTATCTGTACGTTATGCTTCAATAAACCCCAAATATTCATCTCTTATGTTTCTCGCACGTACCGTATGTATAATTTTCAATGTTACGATTCGATGTAATTCAGTGGAACTGACAGAAATGCCACATTATATTACCTTGACTTTGAACACAGTGATCAAAGCAAAACAAACTCACTATCGTCAGACAAAAGTAGATCAAATGAACGAAACAAATCTTCAAAATGTCTGGCACGGGCACATGAGTTCCATAAAAGGAAGCACATGATATATTCGGCGACTAGAAATATTTTACAGCTGCCACTTAAAAATGTTGTTATTGTTGTTATAATTTATTTATTTATTTATTTGCGAATCGGTCATCATGGGTCCATACGATACGTGCATCCCACCGGGTGCACGTTACTTTTCTATTGGGGGGATCAGCATTTATTGCTGATTCCATTTTTACACCCCAAGGTTGTAAGCCCTGGGGTATGGGGAGCAATGATTATGATGATAATGATGATGATGATAAAATGATAAAATATACACACACAAACATACAGAGACACAATTATTATTATTATTATTATTATTATTATTATTATTATTGTTGTTGTTATTATTATTGATATTATCTCCTACTAACATCATCATCTTTCATATGTATAATTCTATCAGAGTAAATGTCATGGCACGATTCCATTAGTTTATGTATGCCTTACATATACCTTGTATGTATACCTTGCTTTTATGTATCCAATGAATTTGTTAATGCACCGAAACATCTATAAATATGCACAAATCAATATTACATTAATGGGTCTAAGATTTACCAGTTAGCGTTCGTATTCTGCACAATTCATATCAGTACATATACAGTACGATATAGTATATATTCACTGGCGAATATGAACACATCATAGTTTCATGTTGGTTTGTTAATTCACTATAAAACTTCTAAATCCTGGTTTCACATGTATTTTATTTATGAAAGAATTTCTCTTAATTTTGTCTCTTAATCTGTAATTTTTTACTAGCAAGGGAAGTATTCTGATTCTTACAAACACGTGTAACAAACTGTAAAAACAAACTTTTGTTGCAGTGCCATTAATGAACTCTGAACGTGCTGATTAGTGTGCTCTTTCTGCAAAATTTGCCAAACATATACTAGGCTCATTGTGTAGGTTATTGTATAGCCATTGTATAGTAATAATCGCAAGGCAATTATTTTAAACATACCATTGAGAACTTTTCAATATTATTAGCAATATGAATGACTACAAAAACAGTTATAAAATTAGTGACAAGCCATAATTGCTCGTTAGTGAAGTATCAGAGTATCGTTTTTTGTTATAGGCGCAAAAGGAGTTGTAGAAATGCTGATCAAGTGTATTATATTTCATTACTTCGCTCGTGAAATGCGAGAAACTGCACGAGCATTGAATGAGCTAAGCATCTTACTTTAACACGTTACGTTTTACTGAAGAATGTGAAATGTGTTATCAAAATACTCTGAGAACCGGTATCTGTTTGCGACGGTGTTGAGTGAAAAAAAATCTGTAGATTTGCAACGAAACAGGTTTAAACTACATTTCTCGTAATCAAAGGCAATATTAACCGAATGAAGTAAACATGCTTGAATCGAACTTGAAGTCGGGTCTCTTAGGGAAAATATATACTAAAAACTCTTTCTAAATTCGGGAAGGAGAGCTGTAAGTGCCAAGTGGGAAGCAATATCACAACAATTGCTGGATATTTTGTTTTCTGTATGTTATGCGAATGTCAACCGCGTTTATCCTTTTCATTATGAAGATATTCTATAATGATGTTTTTGCAATTGATTTCCAGCTAGTTTTAAAGAATAGATTCCATTAAGAAAAAATCTAGTTTCAGTTCTGAATTTGCTAAAAATGTTTTGCTAAATCTTTTTTGTGATTTTTGAAATATCCAAGGTTTAATGAAACACAAAAGTGGTCCAAGTTTGAAGACTAAGTTAGGAAACACTTTTAAGAAAATTTTGAAAATACCCTAGGGGCTTCATGTGAAGTAAAAATGTATTAAGTAAAATATTCGTTCCAGATTCAAATTTGATTTCAGACAGATTGATTGAGGAATATACATTTTGGGGAAAATCTTTCTTTTTATGTTGAAAATTGTTGCAAATTAATGTTACTGACGGACGGACGGACAGACAGACATACATATTAAAAAAAACACTTTCTTGGAACCAGGGACCTCCAAGTCCTCCTCCTCCTCCTTTCTCAAGATTTTTAGGGCTACTAGGAGGCTAAGAAGGTTAATTGAAAATTGTTTCAAGTTAACTAAAAACAATGTAATGTAATTCTTAACAGGATCTCATGTCATTCCTCCCACAAATTTGCAGATTCTAAATCTACTTCCGCTTCTGGGTGCATTCACCAGATACTTTTGTAGTCATAATAATAAAAGCCTAAAGTATCGAATCCTGTGATATCCGTTTGGCTCAGAACCTTTAGAATCCCATGTAACGTATATGGGATTTACCTTCCTTGATGCAAAGAAAACAAAAGTCACCACCACATATTCTGTAATTTGATCCAAATCATTCATTCAGATATTCTTAGGAAAGTCGAGTACGAAGACATCGATGCTGGTTCGTCTGGGTTCCGCCAAACATATGTCATTAGCAAATATCTTAAGTGACTGTAATCTTTTAAATGGTATTTTAATATATGTCTAAACGATTGCTCAATACAATTTATTTCTATTAATAGTTTAATTACTAAAACTTCAATGCATGTAATCATACTTAATTTATATTATACTATAATTTTGTAATTTCAAGGCATAAATATGGATACTGGAGTATCTGAATTCTCTTACTTACACTAAATAATCGATCATAAACTGTAAAGTTAGAAAATAATAGACGAAAATATTGTAGATTGTTGTTCTCTCATTCTGTTTTTTTTCTTTATATGGTGTCTAATGCAAATATGTACTGATTAGTTGGGGAGAAAATTCATGTGAAAGTTTTCGGATGTCCGGGTGACGTCCGAAGTGTTACGCTGAATAGGCAACGTTTTGACCATCATGCCGCGTTTTTTCGACATAACGTTACAACGTAGACGAATACCGGCAAAATGATCGTAACGTTGGTTTACCAGCCTAGGACGCAGCTTTTTACAAAGAGCTACAACGATATTTCAGCCGCTAACTATAAAGCCACATTCCCATAGGCTTTCGTACAGAGGAGGCCTGGACGGAGGGGCACAGTCTCCCCGAAAATTTCAGAGGAGGCGGGCCCCGAAATAAAATAAAACGTTTTATTTACGTGAATATGTTCAATTTCTAATTCGTTTCTTTTTTAGCTTACACTTTGTGCAACTGACACACGAAATTTGGGGGAAAAGCTCTCCTAATCACTTGGCAACTTGTAAATGGTCCAACATAAAATAAATTGTGTACATTAATTGTACTCGTATCATTAAAATTAAAATTTTTTATCCTTGTGGCAGGTTTTATTCTTTTAGTGGTAAGAAGATTAAAAAAATTTCCCCCTCTTGCTGTAGGCTTCATATGCACTCCCTTGGGTGAAGACAGTAAGAGAAGAGGGTACGAACTGACGGGACGGAGATGCAGGTAATCGACACTCCTACAGAATTTGATGTCTCTTTTTGGATATGAATAAATTTGTGCGTGACACAAATTCGCCGATTTTTAGGTGCCACACTTATGATTTATATACTTTGAAATTATCAAATCAACGTTTAAAAATCTATTAAATTGAAACAAAAAAGAAAACTTTCCAAAGAACATTCTTAGGATTAACGAGACTGTTTATTGGCCCAGTTGCATTCGATCTATCGCCCAAATAAGGTCAAAGGGCAGGTACCGGAACAATCAGAAGCCACATGTGTGTATATTATTCACTGCGCCCACAGTGAGTAATGAATGATTTGTGAAAAGTGAAATCTGGTGTGGCCAAGACACCTCTGATTTCTCACATGGGGTGGCGTTCGTTTGTTTTTATTTTTGTTGTTGAATGCCTCCTCGAAGACAATTGCCAATTCGCAATTCAGTTAAGAGTTAGTTGGCTCACCCGTACAGAGTTGATGCACTGGGTCCACGCCTTCCTCGGAGGTAGAGACGACGCCTGGCAGATCCGAAGCGTTCAAGGCAGCCGCCCCCGTGTCCAAGGCCACCTCGGAAGACGAGTCCGCCGTCGCGATGGACGTCCTCTCGCGCACGGCCGCCGCCGCCGCCGCCGCCGCCCTCGTGGCGTCGTCCGCGTCAGTCGTCGCCGGCGCCGCCCCGGCGCCGTCGTAGCATCCGTGCGAGGGCGCGAATTGTCTGCCGCCGGTCGACGGAATGGACGCCAGCAACTTCTCAATAGAGAAGGCGTCCGACCGCCGGTGGGGCGGCTGGCTGGTGATGGGGGAACAATTGTTGTCTGTACCGGACATGATGATGGTTGATTCTTAACAAGCAGCAGAGGATAAAAGAGCGCAATGCCAACGTTCGTTGCAATAATATTTCTGTATACTACTCAAATGGAATCCACTGTGTTTTCAGATCTCTTCTTGCACGCACTTCAGAACTTAACCCTGATTTATCCTCACGTAAGAATTTGGTTATAAGTCTATGAAAAATATTGAAAAACAGTGTTGATTTGTCTTCAAATATTCAGAACACGCCGGGCAAATGTTATTCAGATACTTAAAAATTATACCGTTGTGATTGTTTGTAATATATCGTGTCTTATACTCTTGAGTACTAAGTATAGTCGAGTTATTCATTGCTTTCACTTGCTGAATGCTCAGACATGAAATTAAATATCACAATTGTTTCAGATGCCTTTGATACATTTTGAAGCTTCACTGTCTTACTACATTGTATTAATATTTGTTGAAAACCAGTTCTGTATTTCTTAGTCTCAGACTGTTTTCATACGACCACTGAAGAGCGAATTTTGTTCGAAAAATAATTTGGATAACTGATTATCAATTGTTTAAGAGTAAAATTTTTGAATTGGTGGCGCCTCTTCTAATAAATAAAAGATTTTAATAATGAATGAACTCCAAATTTATTTTTTAACGTGTGCTTGTTGTCAACTCATTTATATGAAAATTATTTTGATCATTGACGAAAGACAATTTCCAATTTTCTCAGTCATAATTCCTAAAGCAGGATAGCCACAAAATTAATTTGAAACAAATGCAGAATGAAATTTCGTACACGTACAATTTAAGGTAGAAATATAATTGGATCAATAATTCAGCTATTCAAAATACAATAACAAAGTTTTTGATGAACATCAGTGGGCCGATGCAGTATACTCTCACTGATTTTTCATCATTCGCATCATCCTATTCCAAGTCTTAATATACCGTTCACGTGTAATAATATTTCTTTACGTCACCACAACTCGTTTTCTTGTGCTGATCATATCTCGGAGAACACACGAAGACGACCCCACGGCCGAACTCACATTTCCTGACACTAGTGGATTTCTGACGTGTCTTGATGAGTCGGTATAGCCGCGGCACACGCACCGACGAGAGAGCGACCCGCACCACGTGGGCCGAGGGCGCCTACTTGATGACTCGGCCCGAACTGGTCGCGGACGCTTGCTGGCGGAGCGGGACGGAACGTGCCGGGTTGGGGCGGGGCGGAGCGGGGCGGGGCGGGGCGGAGGTGCCGGCGCGGAGGCGGGCCTCGCAGCTCCGTGCTGCGGCCGCATCGGCAGCGCCTTCCGCTTGGTGATCGTGGCGGTGTGCGGGGGTTGCGGGCCCGAGTGGGCGGGGCCAAAGGAGGCGGTGCCGCTCGCGACCAATGGCGCTGCCCGCCGCGCACACGCTTGGGTGCTCCGCGCCCAGAGGGGTGGGGGGAGACTGCCTCCGCCCGCGCGCGCGCTCGCGGGGGGGAGTGTGATGTACGGCCTCGCTCGAGCTGGCTCCCCTGACACCGCGCTGCAGGTTCAAGGGGGAAAAAAGGCGGATTTTTTTCCGACTTGGCTTCCGTTCGAAGTAGTTAGCACTGATTCATGGAGGAAATTATGAGGAAAGATGTGAAGTATGCCGATTCTTGCTGTTTTGAGTAACAATTTATTTAGTTTGTCAATTAGTTTTCGTTCAACGTCTTTATTCTTTGTCCGTTTCGTGAGCACGATGCGTTTGACGGAATATCTGTTCGCTCTCATAACATGGACGCACTTTTCAGATCCCGAAATATAGGAATGCGATTTTCATTGACTATATAGATTTTTTGTTGATATTGTCACGATCGTTCGTGGTTTATGAAAGAATGATACACTTTAGAGTAAAGAAATAGCTGCGTTTCATATTTTATGAGTTTTTATGAAAATTTGTGGAGATTTATGAGAGTTCAGAGAATGAGAAAAGATGTCTGAGGCTGAAGCTCCCAAAATAAATTAAGCAGGAAAAAATGTTTTTCATTCGTCTATTCACAACTTGGCTTCTGCTCAAATCAGTTATGTTCAATTCATAGGAAACGTTTGTGTATGAATGAGAGGAATAAGGAATCTTGAAAGGCTAAATTTCATTTTCTCTATTTTCTCAGTTATATTTTGTAAACACGATATTATTTATTCGATTGTAAACATTTTTGTTTAATATTCGAGACAAAGTCATGAATAAAAGTGTTTAAAAATTAGTTCCCATAGAGGATCAACATACCTCCTTAGAAGGAGATTTTCAATTAAAAGTTAATGCTCTTCACAGTATTTGGAAGTTCCAATCATTTGTCCATCAGATCTTCATCTAATAAATGCATGCAAGCCATTTCATTGTTTATGACCTACAGTTTTTTCTAAATGAGAAAAAATATATAGGAAAAAGTTGTCCTTCATATTCGAAAAATGTGCTACAAATATCGCCTACCACACCATTCTGATAGTGTTACAAATGTCACTTACTCCTCAAAAGGACAGAAAAATGTAAAAAATCTTTTAAAAACGTTTTTTATATCTTAGTTTATTAAAACGACAAAAAGAAAAAATAACTAGAAAAACAAGATTTTATAGTCTTTAGCTCTCTGTAGGAAGACATCTTTGTCTCGTTTAGTAGCTTTTTTCTTTCTTTACTTCTTAATTTGATTCGCTTTTATTTGTTGCATGTTTGCAGATTAAATGCCTGCATTTTGAGTTTGTTGATTGACTCAGCATTTATTGATGCAAGAGTCACTAGCCAGTTCGACCAATCAACGCATTTACCTTGGCAGTTTAGGGAGAAGTATCAGTACTGGCAAGACGTCTTTTGGCGAATCTAGAATTGAACCTTTGGATTAATTAAAGTCAGTGGCAGTCTTGGAAAATCTACCAGACTAGTCACAATTGATAATACGCGTAATGAAAAAGCCAAAATCAAATACAGAACATATTACATTTTCTACATTCGTAGGTAACATGGGTGTTACAGATGAGTACTAGAGATCAAACATATCAACAATCTTAGATCCTACTTTTCGAGAAGCAAACTGCCAACAAATGAACAACTTCATTTGCAAAACTGATATCCATTGCACCTGTCGGATGGTACCTTTACCTCAGAAAGTATATTAAAAGAAAATCAAAGTAAGAACCAAAAATGAACGGAACTGCATGGCATATTCGCGAGTCAATTAGGCAAATGGATTAAAAAAGCAAAAACCTCTTTGACGAAATAACTGATTTCGAGATGGCGATTGAAAAGAGTAATGGCTACAAGAAATTATCGGAAGTGCATAAGATGATGCATTTTTTAAACATTTTTTTTAAAGATTTTTTTAAACATTGAACATTTTTTGGACATTTCTATTTACAAATGTCCAAAATGCCAAGCCACATCAGAAACAATAAAATAAATAAATGGATCTATCTAAACACAGTCGTACATTTGTAAACTGAAAATATACCAAAAGATACCACGAAAAATCATCCATCAAAATTTACCCGGGATCATAGCGTCAGCATCACCTTATTACAAGTATGAACTGCCAGCAGTTCTTGATCAGATATCTCTAATTCTGTTGGGATTGAGAAATCATAACTATTGATTAATTACTAGTGATTCCGGGCGCGTTAAGATCATTAGTCTCAGTGCACTATACTGACGTGTAGTGCATGTTTTTTGCTCGGGAGATGGCTGTGAGTTTGCCGCACTGGATGGCAAGATCCGTCGACGTCCTAGCTCCGGCTATGGGGATTTCTCCCAATCATGTTTCTCCCACCAGCGGGGCACCGCCCCAATCGGGATAAGCTCTAAGCTCCCGACCGCTCTCCCGGCATGTATGATAGTGTAGTGCATGTAAGTGTAAGTGTCTGTAAGGGGTGAGGATAGGACAAGGAGTGGCCCGTTGGTTAGGATACGGCTCTGGCATTCGCAATTTGAAATATTCGATAGTGTACTAGTTCCTTTAATGCGAAGGATATTCGCATCATCAACAAAAAGAAATGTTCTTCTATTTCGAATTGACGAAGGCATCCTATTTACGCAAGTACAAAAAGAACAGGGCCTAAAATCAAACCCTCCGGAATCCCATGCGTAATTGACAGTGAATCGGAAAAGTGAGTAAATAATTTTCATTCCTCTAGTTCGGTATTTGTACTTTGATATCGTTGTTTAAGGTACCAAGATAATCTAACGCAATTCCACCAATTCCATGCAAAGGAAATTTTGAAAGTAAAATGTAATTATCAACGGCATCAAATGCTTTAGAAAGATCTAAAAATATTCCAGTAGGTGATTCATTTTGATTCTCTGATGAAGCGACCAATTTAAGAAGAGAAAATGTCTGTTTTCACAAAATTTTCATTTTTTAAATCCATGTTGGCAATGCGAGAAGTTTCCGTATTTAATAAGAAAGGTTTTCAGTCCGGTGTAGAAAAGTCGTTGTAATATTTTTGAGAAAACTGACAACCCAGTAATTGGACGAACATTTTTAATTTCATTTCTGTTGTCTTCTCGTGGCTATCTGAGGACAGAGGGAGGTAGGGAAGAATTAAAGGGCTCGTTCAAAGATCTTATATACGAAACTTAAAAGTTTCGTACAAAATTTTTAAAAAATAATCCGTATCCAGAATACTATAATGCAAAAATTAGGCGTATGAAGAGGGTAACGAGAAAGGCATTTAAGAACAGAAAACGCAGTAGCGAGCATAAATTTTCAGAAATCGTTCAAAAGAATTGAAGCGAGCAAACAAAATTGCTCTTGAGCATATTTAAAGAACATTCTGGATAGGAAGGGAAATAATGGAACTGAATTTTATAAATATGTTCGTAGAAGGCAGGGAAATAAAGAAGATATCCCAATTGTTCGTGAAAATGGAATCACACTCATTACTGACGATTGGGCAAAAGCTAATACGTTTAATAAGTATTTTGGTTCGGTTTTCAAAACCAATACGAACCACCCACTAATTCGAGTGTCTTCGGTTACAAATCAGTTTAATATTGAAGTAAACGTT